ATAACCTTGTCTTTTATTGATTTTATAAAATTTATTACAACTGTGTTTAGTTGAAATGTAGTTGAAAATGCATACAATATTATGGGGTAGATATGAGCATTAATATAATTTTCTATGACTTTTTAAACTTTGCATAAAACTAAGTTGTAAAGAGAATGGGTATCCCAGAATTTACAGTGTTATTCTCATATGAATTATACAAGCAGGTTTTACAATGGCCAATGACATTCATTTATTTATACCTAATATGCATATGAAATTCAAAATCTGCATATCAAAATTCAAAAATACTTTCATCATAAGAGAAGCACTGGATAGATAACATTGCTTGATGTACTTATTCTCCTTTTTGTTTGGATTTGCAGCATCTCAGGATTTACAACTCTGTTCATGGCTCTATAGACCTGGCCAGATGAGAAGTTGTCCCTATTTAGGTATATGCTTTGTGTTTTGCAGTGATTTAAAAATGGATCCTAAACTGAAAACTTCCTCCATTGCTTGCCAAAGAGAAGCAGCTTGTCACTGGGCACAATGGAAATAAATTTGATCATTGTTGACTTACTTGCATGTATGTTGTCCAGTGACCAATTTTGTATTAATCATAATGATTTCCAGTATAGTAACCATTCATTGGAAGGACAAAATTGTGTAGCAGCATGATGAGATATTTTAATTTTTTTTAAGTACCATTTGAGGAAGTGACATCTGTATTTGCACAGATGCTGTTAAGAAATTTTTTTGAACTCTATTTTGTCAGTCAAGTTGTCACTGCTTCTGCACATCTCATCAACTGGAAGTTGCTTCAGTGAGACAAAGTTGGCTTTGTTTACCTGTTCATTTGTGGGACAGTATGGCTAAGCTGAAGTGTCATTCATGATCAGTATATTGGGTAGCAATTACTGTATAGACATGACTGCCAATATCTTCCAATTGATCTGATTAGATAGTGTATTGGTCCTTAACTTCGATTTTTTTTTTTTTTTTTTTTTTTTTTTTTTTTTTTTTTTTTTAAGCTGTTTGTTTTGGTACCTATGGATCTTTTCTTAAATATCTACGAATTCAGGTGACATGCCTGTCTGTTTTGTGCCACCACTAAGTTGCATTTTAATGATTGTCAACTTCATGAGTCTTGTCCTTGCTTTTGGATCTCTTTCATGGCACATTATTTGGTAACTCTGCCCAGCAGAGAATGTTTGGTGAAGTCATCCAATAACACCATTAGTTTGATGCTAAACACTCAAGCAGTGATATCAAATCTGTCACTGGTGCCTAACCAGGAAAGTATGACTGCTGAATTTTTGTTCAGTTCAGGTTGCATGCAAAAGTTCTAAAAATGGTCGAGATTGATTATTGAGTCTAAAAAAGCCTCAATATACCACTCTGATGCAGTGATATGCAGATGTTTGGTGATGCCCAGAGCTAACTCCTTGACTCTATGCCCCTAAGACTCAAGTAGCGAGGGACTAGTACTGAGAAATGTGAGAAAGGAAGACATTTTAAATATGTAAAAACAGATCAAACATGAACACTTTATTCAAATAAACTAAATTTTTATTTCACTCTTTGATTGGATGCCCTATGATGCCTGAGTTCATTGCACCCTATGCCCCTCCCCCTTTCTGCATGCTACTACTCTGGTGTGCAGTAAATAGTTGATGCCAGCCAACCTCTTTTCCTTAGTATCCAGAAGATCTCGGTTGTTTCAGTACTTATTTGTTTTTGGTGATTCTGTGCCCAATTCATCTTGGTCTCTTTAGCTTTTACAAATTTCTTACAGGCAAAATGCTGTGTAAGTTACTTTGCACTGAGGATGAAATATTAATCAGGATCTCGGACATGAGAATATTATGCAAATTCACTTTTTGACAGCTTTTGCTTTACCTATTTGCAAGAGAAATGACAAGCATGAATCCATCTTCCCCAAAGGGAAACAAGAGGACATAATCAAATGGATCATGACTGGAATGCCTTTTATTGATTCTGCTGAGATTGTCACTCTGTTTCTGCAGGATGATTATCTGCATTTAATTAAACATTATTAATTAGATTTGTAGGTAGTTCTTTACACTGGAGATGTAAAATAATTACAGAGTATTATGAATTAGCTTGGACTAACAATCTGAACAAAAAGAAAAAATGTTTAAATTGATAAAAATGATATGTCTCATTAAAATTAAGAAATATTTCACAGAAAAGTATTAACTTCATCTATGATCAAGCATAGTTTAGTAACAGGTATTGTTGGTTTTCTCTCACAATGTAGGAACACCAGATACATGTAAATGCAACCTTTGTTCAATCTTGTCAATTTAATATATTTCTGCTTTGCTGTTGACAATCCGATTTATCAGGTTGCATTGTTGATAAATGTTGTTTTTATTAGTTACCTCCCTTGCAAATAATGACAGTAGGAATGCTTCACATTTTACTGGCATCATAAGCATCTGACTCAATAGATTTTTAAATTTTCCCGGAGATAACCCAAATCTTTCCTGAAAGTTATGCTAAAACTGAGCCAGAAATGGTGGTGACTTGGGTACATGGATAGATGAATGCTCATTTGGCAAATTATTATGAGATTTAGTTTTTATGTAGCATTTTACTTTTTCACATTCATCTGTTATAAATGCAAGAAAATCACAACTGTATTTTTCTACTAATTATCACCTAGTAAACAGCTCAAGAGTTACTCAAGATAGAGGGTTACAGTTGAGATAGTAATGATGAATGAGGTGTGTTATATGAATGTAAGAGAACTTGGAAGGAAATTATGTATTATATGAAAGAGAATGTAATCTGTTGAAAAAGTTTAAGATCTCCAAATTTCATCATTTTTTATACATTCACCCTTTAAACGAATTCACCATTCCATCAAAATCTTTCTATTTGCTGCTTAATTATATTGTAGATACACTTGGAACTGATTATATCATCTGCTCCTTGTTTATATTGTAATTCTTGAACAACTTAAATAGGATTCAGGAGTGGGAAATTTCATTATTTAAATTTTTTATTTGTATCTTCAATGTTTTAAGCTTTTATAGGCATTTGTTTATGAAGGTTTTGTGCAGATTTACATGATACAATGATATAAATGCTTCAGTGTAATAAAAATGCAAAAAAGTTAATATTTGAGTGTTAATAACATATTGCATCTAAATAAAAGTTCAATGCTGATACATCTTGGTAGATTATATTGTTTTCTGATTAAATATTTTTTTCTGTTGATTGTAATATTTTCATGGTGATATATCTTGAATGATTTTAACACACAGGTTACATACACTTTCTTGTCAGTATGCATGCACAACAGCAAATATATGCAATGAGCAGGATTATGTATTTAGGGATCATTTTCAAACAGACATAATATCTGATATCAAGTTGTTTGGCTTACTGGATACTAAACTAAAGAATGAAGCTTTAGCTTTTACAATCCTTTTGATATTAGGCATTAATATTGAAGTCTATAGTTTCAAAATGAATACTTTCAGTTTTTGTTATTTTAGCTTTGCTTCATATCATTTTTGAGGCAAGTTATTTAGAGTTAAAACTGGGTTCACTTGTTTCTCATAGGGAAATGCTAAAAATTATTGAAAGTAGATCAAAATGTTTATAAAGGAGAAAATCATCAATAAATATCCCAAGGTAATATTTTGGGACTACTCAAAATGTAATGTATATTTTAATTACAAGGGGGTGCTGAAAACTTGACATCTCAACCAAAATTCCTTTCAAAAAGAAAAGAATTTAGTTAGATTTTGGAAAGTGGATCAGGCTGAGAACTTTTCATCACCTCACATAAAAATTTAGTTGAGAGGATCATAATGCAATGAAACTATAAGCAGGGAAAAGTTCAGTGAAACTTAAAATAAACTGAAAGATAAGATTAAATGTTAATTTTCTCAAAATAAGTTTCTTTGATCCCTTAAAAACATAACCTTTTTTTAAAAAAAATTTCTATTTTATTGACAAATATGACAATAATATAGAAACCTTTCGTAAGTGCTTATTTCCAAAGTACATATATTGCTGTTCTGTTTGATCACAGTGTTGCCTTTGTTTAACATAGAAAATATGAATTTTTTTCATTAAAATTTAACATCTTCATCATTTCATTGTATTGACAATAATCCAGTTAATATGTAAATGTCATTAAAACCTTACTGAAAATTTCAGTACAATTTCTTTTACAACTGGATCTAATGCAAAACTGATGTTTTGTTAGTATCTAAAAGATTATCTGGTAAAATTATGGAACTATCATGATCTATAATCAAATTCAGAAGTATTAATGTAAAAATTTGATAAATTAGGTTATCAATGAACTATCTAAAATGACAACTTATTGATACTTTAATTATCTAAAATAACTTGATAAATATCAGTACAAGTTGTATTCTCAATATTTAAGAATTTGGTCAAAACAAGTTCTTCATGAAATGACACAGTAACAGTTAATTTGTTAATATATAATGTATAAGAAAGAAATCTTACAAACCTAATTGTCTCTCTATAAAAAAAGACAAAGCAAATAATTGATTTTAACTTTCAAGTAAATAAGCCAAAAAAAATCTTACAGTATGTGTGTGACAATGTGCAATCATGAATGATATAAGTGTAGTGCCTCTTAATGTGGAAGTGTTATAAGATTAAGTTGACCAGTTATGAAAACATCTTGTTGGCATTTACAGTTTTTGGTGAGCAGTTGTGAATGTACTATTTTATACAGTTTTAGGTGTGTGGATGTGAATTAGCACAATACTAACTGCATCTCAGAATTTTACCAGTTCAGAGATGCAGTTAAGATTGCAAACAACTCTAACAAAAATATTATCTTTCATTTTCTTTTTAAAGCTTTTTTATCATTAAGATATTGGAATTTATAAATATGCAAAACTGCTAATCTTGAAAAGTTTTCTGAATGATTGTCTCAATTAGTTGTAATTTATTAGTGTAAACAAAGGCACACTGTGATCAATCTAGGAAATATCAGTTACCTCGCATACTTTTTGGGATCATCTGTATTGCTGCAAATTTCATCATCGTCATCACCACTCTCAAAGCTGAAAGAAAAGAAAAAACATAAAATATATTTTTAAAAAATAGTTTAAATATTTTCATGTTTTCTTTAATTGCCAACTAAAAGTAATTGATTTTTAACCAAATCATCACTGATATGCAAGTATTTTCCCTTTCTACAAGTTATGCTGGGCTTAGTGAAAAAGTTCAGCATTGAGATGAAATTCAATTCTCATTAATAATCAATAACATTAGAAAAATATGGTCATGATAAGTTCAAATGAAAATTACTTACTGAGGCAAAATGGAATGAAAGTTATATACCCCGCAACTTGTTTTATTTTATGATTATATATATATATATATATATATATATGATGATAATAATATATGGAGTAACAGATAATGGCTTGGCTTGGCTTGAGGTGTTGGAGAGCTATGTTCGAACTTGAGTCAACTTTGTTACATTCACTTATATGCAAATACCCTTGGGGAAAGGTATGATTACAGGCAATCAATCAGTGACTCTGCAATTACTGCCAGTTTTTATTATGCAAGTCAATTTTTTTTTTTTTTTTACTATAAAATTGGTATTAACCAATCAGTATTGATAAAATTTTCAGAATATACATATATTTATATAAGTAATAATATTGTGTTAGTTTCAGCTCATAATATCTCCTGTACTTTTATTTAAAAATACTGATAATTTGTTTGAAGGTTTTACTTTGTAAACAAGTTGGGTGCAATATTTTAATATATGAATTAAAAAAATTATAGGCTATAAAACATTTGCTTAACCCAATATACTATATACGTCAATAAATTATTGCTTTATTATGTAAAGGTCTGTTTGATAGAACTATCATCAATCTTTAATTAATCAAGCTTAACTTTCCTACTGTTTTGACTTTAACACTATTTGTAGGAGATATTATTGCTTCCAAAAGATCTTTCCTTGCATATTGTTTTCTATTCTTCTATACATCACTTTTAATAATGGACCACAGATTTTCTGTTGGTTCAATATCTGAAGAAACTTTTGGTAGGTAGGCAAATGTCAACATTATTAGGTGTGAAGGAACATTGTCTTGCATATGTTCTTTATTTAAAGATTCATTTTTGTGAACTATCACTCAAAAATGTCTTGCCAAAGAATTTACAATAATTCTTTGACTTTATCTTGATTCCATCATCAACTTTGAAAGGATCTATAATTTTATTGCTATCAATATTAATCCAAAATATTGCTTCACCTTCCCACTGATGTCTTTTAAGTTCTATTAGTTGATTATTTCAAAGGAAGGACCAGCGATCAAGTCCATTCAATGTAGATCTACATTCATTGCTAAAAAATACTATTGAGAAATTGCAAAACGGTCATAAGTTATTTAAATGTACAAAAGTTTGTATATTAAATAACTGGATTGTTTACTTAAATTATTAAAAATTCACTGATTTATGTATTTATGAAACAGACTAAATTGAATAAATGAAACACATTGGGAAATTTTTCATTATAAGGAAAGGAAATACACAAAATCTTTTTATGAAATTACCTTTTATATAATAAACTTCTGTTGAAAGGTGTTAGTAGGTTTCTTCCTTGAAAAAAATCTTTGATATATCCTTGTATAACTTACAAATAAGTGAGTATTAGGAGGTATGATGAGAATGAAGTCATACTTACTCAATGAGGGATCCCTTACGCTTCCTGGTCTGTTCCATGGCTGCTCCCCACTTCCCCTTTGCAGCAGCAGCTGTGGTAAGTGATGATGAAGCTGAATGAAGTGTGGGAACTTGGAAATTCCCAGTGACCTGGTAGGGGTCTGGAAAAGAATGAAATTAGCAATTATATTAAATAGACAAAAAAATCAAATTGATTTCACATTAACATTAGTATATGTGATAGAACATGAAACATTATTTTTATTCATGTAGACAAAGACAATAATTTTAATGCAAATAGACCTTTTATTAGGTATCCCAGACTAAAATTTTATTTTCATTATATTCCAAAAAAAAAAAAAAAAAAAAGAACTTTCTGGTAGTTTAGTTAGCAATGAAGTTATGATTTCAATATTTGTCAATTTTCTGTTTCATGTTCTATTGGACCAGAAGCCAATTTCAACAGTGTATAACTGAAAATGCAGGCTTCAGAATAGTTTAAAATCTTTATAAATGTAATGTCATATAGGTAGATTTGAAGTAAAAGAAATATAATACTAATGGAATCAATAATTACTAGATGAAACCAGCCTAAACTTTAGGAAATATTGCATTCTCAAAAGCGAAATTGTTAAAAAAATGACACAGAAGGGTCATTTTCACTGTTCATATAAGTTTCATTTTAACAGTTAATACCTTGCAACTTCTTGCTATGATTCATAGCACAACAGAAATGGAGCTAAATCTTCTCAGTAGTACATCAATAAAAAAACTCTTCTTTGCACCATGTCACAAAAGCCAGATGCACACTTTGGCAGTAGGGATAGAAACAGGTCAAGTATATGGTATCCTGAATTTGCCATAAAAAGTATCCATTAGAAGTGCACACCTGAAACTTTACTAATTTGGGATTAAATAAAACGGTTATTTTCTCTGTAATATGTCTTTTCTCATACATGTATCTAATTTTGGATAATTTTGTGAAATTATGCAATTTTTAACTTGTCAAAAAGGGGCAGTAATGACTACCAAACTTAGAAATTTGTATTATGAAGTAAATCATTGGTCAGTCTTTCAAACAAATGGTTATTGTAAATCTTTAAACTCATTTATCTTCAAACTAAAATACTGAAATGAATAAAAATACATTTATTGGAACTTAAGAAAAAGACTTTCTAGACAGTTGAAATGGTTTTCTAATGGTGATTTGCAGTCTGAATTTGTTTATAAGTCTCTTCTATAGTAAATACTCCTAGAACATGGCATATCCTAACATATTTGAAAGTGGTATTATATCAAAGACTCCTCTAAAAACAAATGTTGACACCACTTGTGCAATATCATCCAATAAAGGCCATCAAAAATAATCATTTCTGCCTTTAGTTGGAACTAAAATTTTGATTACAGCACTGGACAGAGATGTAATATCAATGACTTGGTCAGTGTAAAAGTTGGAGTAATAGTATACTGCACCCCATTGGCCTTGACGCTTGTAACTGGCTGTCATTTGAAGTGGTCTACATAACAAATTCTAGAGTTGTTTGAATATTTAGATTCACTGAGTGCCCTTTCTTCCTTCCTGTGTTCCTCTAGAGGTGAAGATGAAATTCCATTAAAAGTTATATTGGTGAAATGTCTATTCCCTTCATCACAGTTTTTAACTTTATCAGTATACATTGCAAGGAATTTGGGGTTTATTTGGCCTGCTTCTCCCACTTAGAAGAAAAGTACTTCTTGGGACACTGAGTTCATCATCCACTGAACAGAAGATTAAATGTAAATTTTATTAATCATCTGGGCAGGGATTTCTGTGGTGGAAAGCACTAATGCATAAATTAAAAAGAAAAAAGGAACTGATATGTGCTTAAAAAAATGTTATTTTTATTATCTTCTGTAATGCTATTATGAAATGGCTTAAGGTAAAAAATTATAAAAGACAACACATATTTGCAAAAGTTGAAGAACTATAAAATAAAATGTATCCATTATTTTTTATTTATTTTTTTTGTTAAGAAAATTTAACAATTTCATTTTAAATTCCGAATTAGGACTTAATCCCTAGAATTAGTAAACAAATATAAAAAAGGAAACTGATTACATTTTGAAAATGACCTAATTACATTTCAATTTTTTATGAAATGTATCTAGTTTCATTTTTTGAAAAGAAAATATGAATAAATTTTCAATTTAATCCCCAAATCCGAGAAAATATGGCCAGCCTTAGTAAATGAAATGAATAACGATTTAAAAAAAAAAAAAAGTAAAACAGGACACTTTTTAAAAAAAATGTTATTTTATTCTTTTATGAACAAATATGTGAAATTTAAAGAACTAAAGGTATTCAGTTTATATTTTTATTTTTCTATTTTATAATATGAATTGTTTAATGTTTTTTAAGAATATGCATAAAATAACAGCTGAGGTGAAAGTGATTCAAACATGACAGTTTGGACAAAATATGGTAAACAGTTTTAAAATGCATCAGTAAAGAAAATATAAGAAAAATTTTAAACTGTGTAATATCCTTGCAATATTTAGATTACTTAGACTGTTGTCCTCATCTTCATTGCCATATTTACAACATCTTGGCTGTTGTATGCTCCGGCTTTGTTCAGGTGATTGGAATTTTGAATCGACCCCTTTATTATGTCCACTAGGGTAGATTGTTCTAGTTCCACATGCCATGCCTCTTCTGGATGTCTCCATTAAGGACACATGGGCAGGTGGATAAAGATGTTGGTTAGATCCAGTATTGAAATCACAACTCTTTGGGTCTCAAAGAGTTGTGATTTCAATACCAGGCCACAGCAGTGGTGAACCAAAAATTTAGAAAGTTGAGGTAAAGGGAAATAACAGACATATCCAGAGGAGGCATGGAACGTGGACATAGAACAATTTACTCCAGTGGATGAAATAAAGGGTCTGGTTCAAAATTCCAATCACCTGAAGAAGGCCAGAGTGTACAACGGCCAAAATGTTGTGAATATGGCAATGAAGATGAGGATAACAGTCCAAGTAATGTAAATAAAATAATGCAAATAATCATAATACCTCATCTCGGATATAGACAGATATTGTGTAATATCCACTGATAAAACAAGTCTGATTTAAAATGAGGTTCAGTTAGTGATGTTCATTCACTGTCATCAATACAAATTCCAATGCATCAAAACCAATGCTTTTGTAAGAAATGAATGCAATAAACATTTTTTTTTAATCTGCATGTGCCTTGTCTGTAATTTTCCTTTTTTAAAGATTTGAATTTCTGTTGTATTTCATCTACTAAACATTTCAACTTAGAAGAATTTTTTTATGAAAGACGACTTCAAACCTTATTGTTTGCTCACTAAATTGGCGAGTAACTTTTTTTCTTTTAGATGGAATTATTTTGATATATGTAAGTAGACACAACTCAAAGTGCAACAAGATTTAAAGACGCATCTATGAAATTGCAAACTTTGAAAATGTAAAAAAAAGTGCCAGCCATCATTGAAATTGTGACATAATTTAAAGAGAGGTGGAATAAAAACTAATCATCACACGAGAAAGAGATATCTTTAGAAAGAGAAATGATTAGAATTTTGTGTACCTAATAATTTTATAAAAATAGCCTTGAAAATAAATGAGATATCAGCAGTTGAAATGGAAGGAAATTTCACCATTTTGACATGTTTTCACAGTGAAAAAAACTAGGGCAGTTTGTGATAACTATCTTTATCACTCTTTAAAGAATCAGATAAAGAAATGTAGTTCTTCCCTGAACTCCTTATATTGGGTAACATAAAAAGCATGTTCAGTTTATTAAGTCAAAATAAATTCTTATTTTAGACTTTATTGAACAACCTATTTTCTGTTTTGTTTCACTATATTTTGCTATAATTCTATCCACTTAAATTTTTTTATCTTACTCAAGATGACTTTTGTTGTGCTCCAAAGAATTGAAATATTTTTCATTAAGAGCATTCTGTAAAGGCCAGAATATATAATAATCTGAAAGGGCAATATCTAATGAATACAATGAATGGAGAAGCAAGCTGTAAATTTTTGGACATCAAAGCAATGTGTTCTAATGTTAATGATGGATTTTATGCTATTTAGCTTAATTCTTGATACTTTTCATCAGTAGTTGTCTTTGAGTAGTTTAAGTACAGTACTTGTTTGAATCAGTCCTTTTTCTGAAAGGATCTCCAAATAATGAACTCTCTTGCAATTGCTACATATCCACAGCATCACCTTCTTTGGATGATAGCTGGTCTTTTTATGGTTAGTGATTTCTTGCTTCAAATCTATTGCATTTTACAGTAAAGTTTCCATTTTTCATTACCTATTAAAATGTTTAGAAAATGGAACATTTAAATTTGGTTCAGTATTTTTAATTTATTTATTATTGATTTATTTTTTTGCAATTACATGGATGCTACACATAAAACTGACTAACATAACTAAACTGCTGCAAATAATTTTTAATACTTTGAGTATTTTTAATAATACTGATTATTCTCGAGTAATGTCTTGATTTTATTATCATCAACCAGTTTACTTGATTGCGGTTTCAGCACAAAACTTTGCTTTTTATTTGATCATTTACAATACCTTTCCCATAAATGTCTCAGCACTTTTTTTTTTGCATTTAAGTCACATTTCTACCTTTCTTAAAATTAAAAAAGCATAATGTGCAGAAAATGTAACTTATTTTCTTCCATCTTCAATATTAGAATCAGTAAGCAAAATATATCCATTTTCACAAATTATAAAAAATAAAATTTACTAATTTGACAGCTGTCACAATAGAATGAAAAATGATCTTTTTGAATGAAGTTAGTTAAAATTAAATGCTTCTGCTTAAAATTCTTCTGATAAAAAGAAACAGAATCACTTCACCTTTGCCAATGTTAATTGAAATACATAAATGTTTGAAATGTTCATGTTTTAACATTTTAAAAGCATTTTATTTATTATTGCAACAAATTCTATGTACAGAAAATTTACAGTTCTATTTTTTTAACAAAGTGAATAAAATAAATTTTAATTATGTTCTTATTTTGAAAACACTAACACCATAAATCTGATTATATTTAGTGCAGTGATTGTTTTTAAGTTTATTGTGATCTGGAAGTTTATTTTACTTTTTAAACTATCCTGTCATGTATATAAAAGGGCA